CTGGCTGGACTAACTTTCCAGCTGTGTGACTTCAGCAAATGGTTTAATCTCCTTAAGGATCTGCTTCCTAGGGAGCCCCTGGTGGAGGGGCAGCTACGTGGGCTGCCCATCTTCTCAGGGGATCCGCAGGGCCTGACACACCCAGGAGCAATACTCCTCACAATTTGCTGCACCTAGAATTACCTGGAGAATTCAAAAACCTCCCCAAATCCAGGCTTCACCCCAGACCAATTAATTCAGAATCTCTGGAGATGGGACCCAGGCATCAGTGTGTTCCCCAGGTGATTCCAGTGTGCAGCAGAGGTTGAGAGCCAGTGCCCTCTGCTCTCACCCTTGATGCCCAACCAAGCCCATTGCCAGTCCCTTCCCACACCACAGCCACCTGGCCCTCGTGACGCCTGCATGCAGCGTGCTCCTCCACACCTGCTCTGCTGTGTGTTCTCAGGAGCGTTGCTGAGCAGCACAGATGTTCACATGGGTACATATTAACACTGCTCTGGGGATCTTTCCTGCTCGGACTTGGTGGCTGATTTGTAGAACAGCTCTGCCAGGATCATCACCAATGCCTCCCCCAGTCACTGCTTTCCCCGTTCAAATGTCTCACCTGTGCGTGCTTACTTTTGTCTTTTACCTATTACAGGGATGATCCCTGTATTAGTCTGTTTATGTAAGATGGTGGAAGCAGAGAGAGCAGAGAGAGAGAGATTCTCCTCTTCTTTTAAAGCCCTCAGAACCATGCCCATGTCACCATTTTTAATCCATTCACTACTGCGGGGTCCTACGATCTTCAAGGCTCCACCTTTCAATTACCATAATAGGGTTTCCCACCCTCTTAACAATCGCAGTGGGGGCTAAGTTTCTAATACATAAAACTTGGGGGACACAATATAAAGGGTCCTACGATCTTCAAGGCTCCACCTTTCAATTACCATAATAGGGTTTCCCACTCTCTTAACAATCGCAGTGGGGGCTAAGTTTCTAATACATAAAACTTGGGGGACACAATATAAGCTTCGTTGAATTTTGGGGGGATATAATTCAATCCACTACAGTCCCCTTGGTGGTAGAAGCTGCTGGTGACCACCCCAATATCCAGTCTCCCACTTTTCCTCACTAACAACCCCTGGATTGTTGGAGGCTGCAATGTGCTCAGCTAAAACTAACAGCAGCAGCCACATTTTCTAACCCCCTAGCTGGGGTTGGTGGGGTGGTGATGACAGTGAGCTGTAAGCAGAAGTTGTGGGGTGGAGTTTCCGGAAAGCTCCTAAAAGGTTGCCAGGGAAACCCTACCATCCTTTGGTCCTTGCCATCCTTTCTCCTACCTGGAATGAGTGTGCTGAACCAGGCTCCAGCAGCTATTTTGTGATGACAAGGTGACCTTAAGGACAGAAGCCACACGCTAAAGATGGCAGAATAGAATCATAGAAGCATCTCGGGATTTTGATGCTATCATAGAGCTACCACTCCAGCTCTGTACGGCCTGTCTCTGAAGTTCACATTACACGAGGGAAAATTTACTCCCTCCCTTGTATGACACTGTTATTTCTGGTCTTTGCTACGAGCCCCTGAATCCATTCCTAACTGATACTCCCATAACCCAACCTGGTGTGTAACAGTAGTTCAACAAATGCCAGTGACCCCTGAACCTCTGCCTCCTCCAACCCCTCAGCCCAGCCACAAACACAGTTCTTCTGAGAAGCCGCTGCATATCTAGCTGTGAGGCCACTGAAGTTTTGCAGAAACGTGGAATGTCCTAAAGCTACTAAGGAGTTCACAAACAGTGATGCAGGGACCACTCCCAGCCCACAGCTGAGATTTGTTTGTCCCACACTTAATTTTTTAAAACATTGATTTTGTTGCCAACATTTCAAAACCCAGTGATTTTGCATAAAAATCCAGATTTCTTAAAACTCTGTCAACCCAGGGCCTTCCTTTCTGCCTGGCAACGATCAGCGGGCACTGAGTAGCAGCTGTCCTGAGATGGGGCGGGGTCTCTGTGGGTTGTCACAGCCCCCACTACACACCCTCATATCACCTGTGTGGCCCTGAAGGCATCTGTGTGTGCAACTTTCCCCTCCCCACAAATCCAAACCCCAGAATACTCAAATGGAATTCCCGAATTCCTTCGTACCTTCTTTCCCAGACTCTCCTGACTCAACACTTAGCACATTGGGATTTTTTGTTCTCTCTCAGAAAACTGAGCACGCACTTCTGAGAACTGGAGAGAAATCACCGTCTTAAATGTCAGAAAACAGCTGATGTTGCTTCTTACTTGGGGGTGTTGCTGTCCCTGGCCACGTGTCTCATTATCACTTGTGAGGGAGAGTGGCAGGCTGCATGCAGGCTCCCCAGGGAGCAGCTGTTGGGAAGCTTGATTGAGGCAGGAGTCATCCAGAGGATGGTGAAATTGGGCATCGAATATGGATTGCTCTGAATGGTTTTTATTACCACGTGGTAAGCTGATACCATCTCAGCTTGCTCTTACTGTGGAGATGAGACATAAGAGATTTCCTAAATGGCAGGACTTGTAGCATGCACGTGAGCTCTGCTATTCTTGTGAAGTCTGTCATCTGACACCCGTGCTCCTCAACTATCAACTAAGTAAGGGCCCCTGATGAGACCTCAGTGGCTGCAGCTGCCACCTTCAGCTGGGGTGACCCACTGGAGCTGATACATTCAGCCTGATGTGTGAGTCTTTACATCCCTCATCATCAGCTACTCTTGGAAAGTGAAATGCCCATGCAACTTTTACAAACATAGGTCTCAGGGGTTTTGGAGGGAAAAACAAAAACTGTTCTGATGATACATAATTTGGAGCTACGATTCTTTATGAGTTACACACTGAGTGCAGTATGAATGAAAAACGGCACCATGCTATCGCAGCATGAGTTCTCAATAAGTAGACTGACTTGAGACGAAGACAGGAAATAATTAAGCGAATTGGCATTCCTCAGGTTGGCACCAAGGTTTTAGGGTTAATTCAACCACAAAAATAAGTTCCAGCTTGTGGGTACAATGGAATCATACAGTGCACAAGATGGTGACTGACCAACAGGTCCATGCAAATTCATAGCACACTCTCTGCCTGCTTTGGAACTGGGTTCTGGGAACAGCAGGACTCTGTTGCTGGGGCAGGCACATGCTTGGGTCCGTTTGCCTAGAGGCACAGACAGCAGTAAATGGGTGTGGGGGAGACAAAAATGAGGTTTGGAGCAGACCAACAGGGCCTTGCTGCAGGTAAACCTCGTGCTGGCCTGTGTTGGCTGGTTACCCAATTTAACTTTAAGAAAATGTGTTTATAACCATCAGATTGCTTAACTTTTATGGGAAACATACTGCATAGCATATATAAAAAGAGAAAAAAATTAATGTTTTAAAAAAGGCTTTATTCTGTATAGATTTCTGAACATGGTCATTACATTTTAATTCTCTGGAAGCTAGACCACTTATCAAATTTTCATTTCTTTTCAGAAATGGCTTAGGAACAATGTTGCTTGGAGTCCAAGTGTAAATTTTCATTGATTTTTTGAGAATCTGGTCAAGCGTTCTTTATCTAAGCCCGTCTTCTGCTCCATTTTATCCAAACATTATATATACTGGCAGTATTCCCATGTATTCTAACCAGAGAAAATCTGGTATGTCTTGAGAAAAATCATTTCCATGACTTATTAATGAACCATCTGGGCATAATTTTCATAGGGTTCAATTCACCCAAATTTATCATAGAATACAATTTAATAAAAAATTAAATGGAATAATTGGATTCTAATTCTTTTTTTTTTTTTTGAATAATATTAGCATCCTAGGACCCTCACTCCATGGTTATTGCAGTCATCAATGTGTCAAATTTTCCCTTCAAGAAAATTAGCTCAAATCCCTTCTTCACTGCGTGGCTGGCTCTCTTCTACCAGTTTACCCCTCCAGGCTTATTCCGTCCTCTTTCCTCCCTCCTTTGGTCTGTGGGGCTGCACCCTGTGGCTTCCAGTCGGAGGGTGGAGAGTGAGATCAGGGCCTTTTTATCCCTGACCCCCTCTCTGAGGTCACGGCAGGTGGCCATTTCCCTCACTCTGGAGGGCAGCCCCCTCCACACAGACTTCTTCCCACGCAGGCTGGGACCAGCCCAGGACACTATCCCATCCTGCTTCTGGTTTCCCCACATGCTGCCAACACCTGTGCAAGTAGGCTATTTGTTACATTCTTACACGATCCCAATTGGAGTGTGCCATGTGCTTCGTGCTGGGACCATTAATGACACAAACACACATTTGACGTTTTGGTGGTCAAACAAACAAAAACAGGGGCCAAACTAGCCTAGTTAAAGCAACACACTTGAGAATCTCAGCCCAAACTTTCCTTCAGGGAACTCGCCCTTCTCAGGGCAAATCTCACCCCATCTCAGGCTGATTTTAGTTCTTTGGGATTCAAAACCCCAGGCTTCTGCCTGTTAAGAGCTCCCCTCTTAACACTCTGAGATGGCTTTGGTCTGGGTTTCTGAGGGTAACAGACTTGGATCAAGCAACAGAAAGACCTTCTCCTGAAGGTCACAGAATACGGAGTGTGAATCATGGACTACAGACAGAATCCAGAGTGGCTTTAACATGGTTCCATGTCATTTGATATAGAGCTGGCACACATGTTTTAGGACAAACGAAAGGTCTGTTAAACGTGTAGATAGTGTTTTTCCAAACACACCATCTATGTTGTATGATAAAAGCAATCCAGTTTAGTGATCCTTTCTCTTTTAGATATTTCTGTTCTGACAATTTCTCTTTACAACCCACTTTAAAGAAAGACAGTGGGGGCTTTTGGCTGAAATTCAAGCTGCAGAAGCCAGTGTATCTTTCTCAGCCTGGTTGAACTTGGAAATGAGCAAATTTTCTCAACAATTTTGCCAATGAAAAACATCCCTTTCACTGTGGATGCTAAGGCTGGGCCTTTGGTTCTGCTCCTAAATGGAAGTAGGGAGGTGCTCACAGAACGATGCCAAGCACCAGTGGCTGTACAACTTCTGTTTTATTTTGTGTGCTTTTTTTTTTATAGGATATAAATAATGACAAAAATTACAAAATTTATAACTGGAAGCCCAAGCTTATTTACACATATGCTTCGGTTTCAGTAAAGCTCCTATTTACTTTGCTCCTATACAATTTCCTTTCGGTAGCATATTTCAATGTTATTTTCCCCTCAGTTTACTACATACATATCAACAGTGAATAGGCAAAATATATACAAGGAACTCTTCAGTTCAAGTAATTTAATATTGTATTAAAATTCTTCAACACTGAACTAAAACCATATACATTTGTCAGTTTGAAATAAAAGTTATTCTTTAAAACTCACCAACTGATGAATGTAACTGATAATCTCAGGTTTAAAATAATATAGGTTAATAAAAAAAACATTAAGACAATTCCACAATTTATCAATATCTCTATAATGAACTTCAAAATGATTCACAATATGATTGGTTAGAACAATATACATTAAATGTTATTTTTTTCTATAATGATATTCGTACTGTTTATATAATTTGATTCTACATAAATATACATTATGGTATCATACAAATACTCCACAGAGACATTAAAAAAATTAAAATACCTTAAAGAAATGTAAGTAAATTTTATTTAATCAAATAGTAAGCAAACATTTTTTGTTTCGAGAAAAGTTTTATTACTTTGGAATTTCTTTCTTTTTTTTTTTTTTGTATTTATTTTTTCTAGAAAAAAAATTTTTGCAATAGAATTTTATTAACACCTTTCTCAAACAAGGTTTCCATGACAGAAATCTTGACAGCAGGAGCCCTAGATTAGTTCTTTAACATGTTCTTTAAAACACTGTGAAGATTAAAAAAGCAATCTTTGCAGGCTTATGGCTGCATCAGCACTTTCGGTTCAAAGCCAGTCTGCATGCCCGAATCTCCTGCTCTGGTGAGCATCATTGGTACTTTACCACAACTGAGCCAGTCCTCTTGGCAGTAGCAGTAGAAATTTAGTCATTTGAAATGAAACCAGAAACATCCCTCACAACTAAGCTAGTTTTTTTTTTTTTATCAATGCATAAATGAAACATTCTTTTAATAAAAATATTTAATACAAGACACATTTTCCTGTGCATAATAAATTCCTGTTTTGAGTCATTCTTAAATTTTGAACCAATCATTTAGGTTTGAAGGTTTTCTTTATCTGACATAGTTGATTACATATAAAATCCACAAAGATAGAAAGTGGGAAACAGAATTTCCTGGTGAACATGGGGGTCGTTTTTGTCCTTTTGCATTAAATGATACTCAGTGATACAATGATTTTACAGATGCTTTATGGGGTTAGTTCTGCTCTGATTTTACCTTTGAAACTGCTGACAGTAAAATCTAACTCCAAGATTTTTATACTTTTAGGCAGTATTAGAGATCCCTTTTACATTTTCTTTTTTAAAGGTACTACCCCCAAATAAAGCAAAGCAAGTATTGGGGTGGAGTCGGTAGAAATACCTTGGGCGGTGGGGGCGGGGAGTTGGGGACATCGGGGAACCCCTGTCAAGCCTCTTGGGGGGAACCCCTGTCAAGCCTCTCGGGGGCGGGGAACCCCTGTTAAGCCTCTGGGGGGGGGGTGTCTTGCGACTGGAAAGTCCGGTTGCGTTTTCCGCCACTGGTGCAGAGAGAACTCCCCCAGGAGGGGCCGGCGGCCTGTGGCCCTTGACCAGGCCACACAAGCAGAGCAGTTTCCTCCTGGGCTGGGTGGGAACGAGGCGCGAAGGAAAGGCTGCCCCGACGGCTTGGCGAGCAAGGCACCGCGAGGAGGGGGACGGCGGGTATCAGAAAATCGTGGTCTCATACTTGGTATTAATTCCCCTCTTGGCTTCCTGTCCCGGCTCCACGATCCACGGCAGATTGGCCAGAGTCTTTTGCTCGGAGGGGTCGATCTGCTTTAAAACAGAAAGGCTGCTGCCGGTCACGGGTCGCCATGCCGTGCGCGCGGCCGCCGCCCGGGAGCCCGCGGCAGAAGCCAGGCCCAGCGGGGCGGCTGCCACGTGGCTCCGCGGGACACACGTGATGGCACGTGGAGTCCCGGCCCGGCGCGGGAGGGGGCGGGGACGGGGGGGCGGACACAGACGCAGACCTCGACGCCGAGAAAGGAGCGCGCTCGGCGGGGGCGCGTGCGCGCGGGCAAGCCAGGGGGGCTTCCTGGAGGAGGCGGTCGGGCCAGGGCGCCCCCAGCCCTCACCCCCCGGCGGTTTCCATCACAGTCAGAACAAAACGGCTTTTGTTCCTCACCATGACCTCTAGTCCCCCTGCCTGCCTGCGCCCCAGCCGCCCCGCGTCCTCGCTGTCCCTGCGCGCCGCGGCCACCCCAGCCTCTGCCCTCGCCGTTCGCTGTGGCCCAGACACCCGCACGCCTCACACCCTAGCGCCACCTCGTCGTAGAAGCCTGACCTTTGACCCCTGCGAAGGAGCCCCGACTTTCCCGCTCCCCTGCTTTGCTCTTCACCGTACGTACTACCGCGTACATCATAGGGGTTCACCCCGCACTACAGTGTACGCTCCGGACGCTGCTATTTTGTCTGTTCTGGTCACTGCTGTTTCTGCAAAACTTAGAAAAGCTCCTGACGACTCCGCAAACAGCAGGCACTCACTAAGTACTGTTGAATAAATATCATCGGAAGAAAGGTCACGTTTGAATGGGAAGCTGCGGGCCCAGCGGCGTCTGCCTTGCTGGGGAGGGCGAGAGGGAGGGCTCTGGGGCAGGTGGAACAGCCTATGCGAGGTCACCGGAGCGGCGGTCAGTTCCACAGCGGGGCCGGGAGGGGACACACAGCCCAGGATGAAGAGGCAGGCAGGGGCCTGGGCGGCTGCGCCTTGAACCAAACCCAGCCATCTCTGAAGTGGTTTAGTCCCTGCACCCACAAACAAACAGGTCCGTCCTGGGGTCGGGCTGAGCCGGTAGCTCTGAGGAGGGGTCCGGGTGAGGTCTCTACCGCGCGCCCGCCCGCCGCCTGCTGTGCTCGGGATGGTGGGCTGGGAGCCGCCGCAGGCTTTGTGTCCCCACTAGGCCGTGGGGAGGACGTTACAGGTCCTTAGCAGTCACTGAATGGTTCTTAACAGTAAACAGCTGGAGCTGAGGGAAATAGAAAGTGCCACCAGCTGAGGGGGACGGACCTTGAGGCAGGTAGAGAACAACTGTAGTGTTCAGTGTGTATTTTCCTACTTCCTGGAGTGAATACTCTGCGAGCACTTAGGGCACCCAACCCCTCGTGCTCTTCTGGAAGAAGTCTATGGGGAGCAGAGGACAGTCAGATGCAGGCACCTGCCCTGAACAGACTGATCTTGTCCACTCGAGAATGAATCCATTAGTCTAAGAGCTAAGCCCTAAACATTCTGTAAATTCCTGGACACTCAACAGCCTGATCATTCTCAAAGATGTATTTGTTAAATCCATCCAGAGACCCTCACTTCTTCACCCACAGATGTTCACAGATATTCACTGCTATGGGCCTGGCCCCGGTGGTGACAAAACAGACGAGGTCCCTGCGTATATGGAACCTACGTTTTTGTGGGGTAAGACAATCAGCAAGTGATAAGCAAAAAACTTCAATTAATAAATACTACATAGAATTAAAAGGGGGTGAGATGCTTCGGTGTGACTGGGTGTCTACCTTGGATTGGGTGCTTAAGAAAAGCCTCTCCATGCAGCTGAGATCTGAGTGACAAGATGGAGTTGGCCATGCTGAGATCAGGGGGAGAATATGACAGGTGGAGGTAGCAGGTGGCACCATAGCCTCAGGTAGGAGTGAGCATTATACACTCAAGGAACAACAAGGCCTGCAGGTCCATGAGGAGTGTGGTGGGAAGTGAGGTTCAGGGTATCTGGGGCACAAGGTGCCGTGATCTGACCCCTGCTGTGTGCAGGAAGGGAGTCCATTGGGAGGTGTGGGCTTGGCAAGAGCTGGGGGCAGCCTGGACTAGAAGAGTGACAGAGGAAGTGGACAGGAATGGACTGATGTGAGATATGTCTCAGGGGTGGAGTGGATGGGGTTTACTCATGGGCTGGATGGATATAGAGGTGAGAGGAAGGCATCAGGATGACTTGGAGATTTTGGCTTCAACAACTTAGTGAATGGTTGTGCCATTTACTGAGCTGGGGAAGATGGAGAGAGATACGGCTTTGAGGGAAGAATCAAGAATTCTGTTCTGGACATACTAAGTTTCAGATGTCTGTAAAATGTCAAAGTGGAAATGTCAAAGAAGAAACTGACATAGAATTCTGGAGTTCTGGGGTGGGTCGGGGCTGGAGACAGAGAACTGGGAGCCAGTGGGGCTGGGTAGGTGCTGAGGTGCCAGGACCAGGGGTCGGAATGTGGTGTTTGAGATAAAGATATCAGAGGAGGTGTGGTTCCTGGCGAAGATCAGTAACGAGCCATGGGAACGAGAGTGAGTGGCAGGGGCAGAGGAGAAGGTCCCAGAAATATGCTGTCCAGGAACGGGACAGATGCTGGAGGGTCATCCCTGTGAAGGTTGATGTTGCCAGGAAAGGTAACAGGAGTAGGGGCCAAAAAGAAGATTGTACAGAGGGGACAGATGCTGGAGGGTCATTCCTGTGAAGGTTGATGTTGCCAGGAAAGGTAACAGGAGTAGGGGCCAAAAAGAAGATTGTACACAAGAAGCCACATGGTCATGGAAGAGGTGCTTCCCTGCAAGGGTTAAAAATTCCTGCTCGTCTCCTATGACACTGGAGATGGGGCTGGTGGGAGGAGAGAGCTACAGATGGGAGGACTCGGGGGTGTGAGAGCAGTGCATTCTGGGGGGTGCTGCCTGCCCAGTGTGAGTCCCGCGTTTCTAGGATGCAATACGGCAGCTGGTGCAGAAACCAGATGGGAGGCTGGCTGGGAACCTTCCAGCTTTGGGGTATTGCTACCACCAGAGGAGGCCGCTTTGAAGTCATGCAAGCCTGTCGGGACAGGATGTCTGCAGAGCCTGTGGGAGGGAAGGGGGGAAATTCCTGGAGGAAGGCAGATGACGAGGAGGAGGGGCCGCACCTCCTGAACAGGCTGCACTCTGCAGGAAGCCTCAGCTGCCGAGAGGAAGCACACGGGCCTTGCACGGAGCAGAGCAGCCTGCGCGTCACCCAGTTCTTTCTAGCTGGGTACTGTGACCCTCTGCAAACCCTTCTGGAGGCTGGGGCTTGCAAGAGGCTTTGCCCCGATGGCACGGCAGCCCAAGCCTCAGGAAATGCTGCTCCCCAGCTTTCTTGGACCTTCAGATAAGATTCACTAAGGACTGCAGCAGCAGCAGCACCCAGTACCCCGCACGGGGTTGTGGCAGGTGGCAGAGAAAGTGGAATTTTCTCTGGAGCCTCCAGTTCAGGGAGATGGCCCCCCCAAGATTTTGTGATGACAGACACACCAGGAGGAGGGCAAGAGAAAGGACAAAGAAGAGCAGGCCTGGATTCTGAAGGGCACCCACACCACGGAAGGGCCCGGTCAGCAGCCCCCTTTCCCTCTTGTTCAAGGTTTTTAGGACACCCGTGTCTTTTCTACTTACCACCGACTTGCGAATGCTGACACGGGGCTTGGGGATGGGTTTGGAGGGTTTACTTTCAAAGCTCTCTGGAAGTGTGGAGGAGTGTCCCCCTTTCCTTGCTTGTAGTGCTAGCTGGTAAGCGACTTCAAAGGCTTGTCCTAGTGTCAGGATGATTTCATAGGCTAAATTCTGCAAGGAAAATAAAATGAGAAAGCATTTACTACAGGCACACTACAAACAGGAATGAGGGAACGGCTGAAGAACACCCGGGGAGGCGAACTAACAGGGACCTCGAACTGCTGCACCTGAGGTGGCACTGAGCCGGTGGAATCTAGGAGGAAGGGGACGCTCCAGACCCCATTCGGGGCCTACACAAGGCACTGGTCACGGATGTGACATCCCTGCTCACGGCCACACTAGGAGGCAGCTCCCCAGTTAATCCCATGAGGAGCAGGGCCACAGCCCATAGGCCCAGGAGCTCCACACAAGGCTCCCCTTGTGGAAGGTTTGTTCCCGAGGACTTGGAAGGGCAGGGGGTCCTTGTGGAGTTCCAGCTGAGTCTGGAGTCATATTCTCAGCCAGGCCTGCCAGGATGATCCCACACACGCCACGGGAGGTGTTCCTGAGGAGCTTGGGTCTTTTTACCTCAAACATCTGTGATTCAGGGAACATCTATGAAACACAATCACAGTCTAATTTGGGCTGAGGGGAGAGGCATTAGTCATGCTGGTGTGGCGTCTCACTGTTAAAGCAGCCAGCATGCAAACAGTGCTCAGACAGCACTGATTATCCAGAGCTTTCTTAAGGCATTTGTTCTCCCTGTGGGTCCACTCTGTATGTATCATCACATCAGCCAGAATGTCACGCCAAGCAGCGCCCGCCCGGGAGAAGGCTGTTTCCTTAGGCCCTTCAATAATCAGTCCTTCTCTCAAGATGATCTCTAGCTTTCTTCTTTTCTCCACACAGGTATCCTTGATTTCTGCCTGCTCTTCCAAGCACAGCTCCATCCTGTTTTCTCTCACTGAGAAAACACGACTGTCTGACCCCAAAGAGGCAGGGTCCCCATAGCATTTTGAGTCACAGTGCATTGAAGAAGTGGATGCATGCTGATCACAGGGAATGTTCTTAAAGTCACTGCACCAGCTGAGAGCGGGTGCAGTCTGTCCCAGGTTTTCATTCTGATGAATGTCTCTAGAGTATTCGTGGTTTCTCAAAATCACAGGAACAGCATTCTGCCTTTGCTGATTTTGCAACTAAGCCCTCTCAGTTCCTACCCTCCTCTACCCCAGTCAGGCACACTGGGAGCTCAACTCCCACGTTTCTAGGGAAGAGTGTTTGGGATCATTCCCACTCGGTGAGGATGAAGAGGGAGCTGCAGGACAGACTTCCAAAGCCATGTGGAAGAGGCCCGTGGGCTCTGGACTGACCAGATTTCAGATCAATGTTAGATCAATTGTCATGGTCTTAGAACTCAGTGGAGAAAACGCCCCTGAGCTCGAGTTGGTTTGGCAGGGGATGTGTCTATCTCCTTTGAACTACTTGTTAGGAATAATGGCTGTCCAAGACAGATGCTGCTTGTGGGAGATGCTGACCTTGCACTGTGAGCTGAGCACTTCCCTGCGATGAGCACTGAGCCCGTGTTTGCCTCCAGGATGAGTCAGACCAGCAGATTAGTAACACACCAACAAATGATAGCGGAGGAGGACTGGGAGACAGCTCTGACCATCCCCGCACAAAGAAGGCTGAGCCCTCCCCACTGCCCACACTCAGCGCTGGCATCAGTGTCACCTTCGTTTCTCAGGGCTCGTGTGGGTCTCCTCAGAAGGGCGGATGGGGCTTCAGACTCCTGCAGTCTCAGAATGAACTGCAGGCTCTGGGTCTGGCTCACCACTGCTGCAAAAGGTGGCTGATGTCCTCTGCCAGGGGCATGGAGCAGATATTTGTGCTCTGGATGGGAAACTGGACTAAGGGAAAGGTGTGAGATTCAGTGATTTTATAACACGCAGACTTTAGATGCTGGAATAGTGGAGCTTAATGAGTGTGAATTCCTTTATCATTAACCTAAAAACAAGCTCCCGAAAGTGAGATCTACTTAAAGAGCCAGTGTCTTCAAATGAAAGTCAGAGATGCTCATATGAGCAAGTGAGATTTTTCACATGACTATTATGGGAAGCCTAAAGGTTTTGAAATAATATGGGTTAGAAGTTCTGCCCTTTTATTTTTAACTAGTTCCTGGTATGAGGAAACTGCTCAAATAAGACACAGAGACCAGGCTGTGGGACTGAGGTTTCCTGTCAAATGGCTTCTCTTGGTTCGGCTTGTGTTCTCCTTGACGTCTTGCTTTTGTTTTATTTTAGAATGCCTTAGAGTACTCTTCTTTTATGATTACACATAGTAAAGAGATGGACATTTTACCTTTCCTATCTTTTCTGTCATCTTAATGTTTGAAATACGGGTGCTGGTTGTCAGGGAGGGTCCATGGATGCCGAGACGCCCACTGAGTGCTCTGCCTGTCCCTACATACTAGGGCCCCTCAGGGACAGATGCTGATCAGATGGGACCTAAGGACACACATTGGCCTGGAGGATGAGGCCTCATTTGCAGGTTCATTTCTCCTGCCTCTTCTATTAGCATCCCCGCTATTTAAAATGAGAGGAGAATTGTTGTCATGAGAAGAGATGCTACTAGGACAGGGCTGAAGACTATATTGTAATATCAGAAAGGCTTAGGTGACAAGCCCCACTCAGTCCTTCCTTCAAGGCAGCCTTGCCAACCCCAACAATGCTGGCTGGCACCGAAGAGAGCCAGTGATGTTGCCCCAAAAATCTGAAAACCCAAGTTGTCTCCTTGCAATGTGGGAGGCCCATGCCTGGCATATTGCAGGCACTGAGTGAATGCCTGCTTGTTTAATGAATGAATGAGTATCCAAAGGACAAGCTGGAGTAATAACATTACTAGTTATTGCTGTAGTACAGCTACCACTAAATGAGAACTTAATAGGTGTTAGGCATTGTGCCAATCATTATATTTATCTAATGTAAGTTGTAACCACGATCATGTGCAGTAGCATATTATTATCCTCATTTTACAGAGGAAACTGAGGCTCAGAGACGTTAAGGAACTTGCCAGACATCACAGAGATGGAAATTTACACAGCTGTGATACGAACCAATATCTGTAACTCAAAAGCCCATGTTCTCGCCCCTACCCATGTGCGGCAGCTTTTTTTCTCATATGGTCCCATCTACTCTCCCCTTCCCTGCACATGCCATGTTGTTTCCCTGTTGAGAGGTCAAGTCTCTTCCTTGAGTCTGGGCTGGTTTTACTGACTTGCTTGACCAGTAGGATGTGGCGGAGTGAGGTGCTAGGACTCATGAGGTTAGGTCGTGAGGAGTCATGCAGCTTCCTCCTGGGCCTCTTGGAACACTTACTCTGGGGGAACCAGTCATGTGTCGAGAGTCTGACCACCCTGAGATCACCATGCTATGATCCAGCCACAAAGAGGGGCTGCCTGGACGGGCACAGCAGTTCCAGCCAGCCCAGCCCAGGGTCCAGATTTGGGAGTGAAAGAGGCAAGCAGGACACTTGAGCTCCAGCAGACACCACATGGAGAAGACTCAAGGCCCCACAGATGGCCCCAGCATCTTCAGCCATCTGGGCCACCCCAGCTGAGACCCCAGGGGTCGTTGAGCAGAGAAGAGCAGAGCTTCCTTGCCCTGCCCAAATGCCCAGCTTACCGAATCATGAACCTAATACTATAGATATCGTTCCATGCTGGTAAATTTTGGGGCGGTTTGTCACACAATAGGTAACTGGACCACCATGTGATGCAAAAGAAGGCTGGCTGGACTCCCATTCAGGCAGCATGAAGAGGAAGTGTCAGCCTGAGCCGTAATGAATAGTACTTAGCATAGGGCCCTGGCTGTGGGAAGCAAGCCAATGCCTGTGACCCATCCCGGTTGCAGGGTCATAGTAAGCACTAAGGTGTCCTTTCACATCTGAGGTTCAAATCACAGAGTTACAATATCCTTTTAAGTCAGCACAGTCACACTCTCATCTCTAGTTACCCCATCCCTTGGGCATAAATCCAAGCTTGTGGAGCTTTTTACATTGGTTGCAGGGTCATAGTAAGCACTAAGGTGTCCTTTCACATCTGAGGTTCAAATCACAGAGTTACAATATCCTTTTAAGTCAGCACAGTCATACTCTCATCTCTAGTTACCCCATCCCTTGGGCATAAATCCAAGCTTGTGGAGCTTTTTACATTCATTACCTTCCATCTCTTCAATGCTGTGACCTGGCCTGTCTCCAGCCTTGGCTCCTTCTGCCTCACGTAGCTTACTGGAAGATACTTACTTGCCTTGGCCTTTCTAGCATAAGTCTCTTGAGATGCATTTATTACGGCAATTGGCCTTGAGGAAGTATTTTCTAACTTACACAGACCACCAGTGATAGAAGGTAGCATGTGTGTGCACATGTGTGTGTGTTTGGTGCAGGCATGAGGGGTGATTACTGGAAAGGGCATACTCTGACCCTCAGTTTTCTTATCTTAAAATGGGGATAATTCCACATGCAGTAGCCACCATACTGGATTGTTTTGACAATCACTAATAATAATATTTAACCTAATGACAATACCGGCCAACATTTATTATTCCTTTTTGTCTTTTTTCGTGACCAGCAACAGATCGCAACCCTCAGTGTCGCGCCCATACCGGACCGGGACCGGCAACGGGATTGCAACCCTCGGTGTTGCACCCGCACCTCGCTCAGCCAGTGAGCGGCCGGTCTGTATGTGGGATCCGAACCCTCGGCGGGAGCGCCACTGTGCTCCCAAGCAGCGCACTGTAGCAGTGCGCCACCAGGCCGGCCCCAACATTTATTATTTACTGTGTGCCATGCACCATGCTAACTACTCTACATGGACTATCTCATTTAATCCCAACATCTCTATGCTAAATCCCAACATTTCCATTTTGCACATGAGATAATTAAACTCAGAAAGGTTAAAAAACTTGCTGAGGAAGTCAATTCCTGGTGGAGCTGGGATTTGAATCCAGGCATTCTGATAGGCCATGCACTTGACCACTACACCTCAGAACTATCCTTGAGATAGAATAAAGGCTTCTGTAAACTGTTAATGTTAAATAATGAAGCTCCCAGGTGACCAATCCAACTTGGCTGGGGTA